TTGTTACTTTTGAAAAATCTTTTGACACTAAGATTTAAACAAAAACAAAACAATCAAAAGGAGCGGAACTCTATGAAATTCTCATCGATTGAAAATCCATAAATTCCATTTTACTCATTAGATTCAAATGAGAACCAACAAGAAGGAAGGCTTCTTCATTTATACTTTATGTAGAAAGTCCAAAATCACTAAGCTTCACCTTTCAAAGAATAGATCCAAGATATTTACCACAAGATAAACTCTTAAACCCTCCTCATGTAAAGACATCTCCTTTAGAAAGAAAAGGCTATCTCGAGCAAGAAGCTCTTCTCTTTGGCATCAATTCTCTCTTTAAAGATCCAACGCATAAGATCCACTAACTTGCTCATAGGAGAAACAGTTCTCTACTTGCAAATCAAGGATAAATTTCAAGATATAGCGCCCACTTTGACTAGATACCAACGTACCATCATCAAGCTCTCGCATAGACCCCAAAATAACACCACAAGATCAAACAAATGTGTAAGAAGTCACGCACAACCACACAAAAGACAAGATCAATTTTGAAAATGTAGTTTTCACAAGAATTTGATTTATTTTTTCAAAACCCATTCTGCAACAAAAAGGAACCTCGAAACAAATAAAGATAGTACTACTCGTTAGCAGTACAAAGCTCGATTACCACACCAAGTAACGGATTCCGTGGTAACTCAAGATATTCTCAAAACCAAGACCTATGAAGTCCTCAATCAAAAAGAAATCTCTCGAAGATCAAACTGATAATAGAAACTGATATGATAATATCAATTAATACCATCACTAAGATAGTCCAAGCTCTGATACCAGAAAACTGATAGCAATCTCGTAGATGAAGCAAATTTCGTTAATGCAACCATCAAACAATAAAGTACGAAGATAATTTGACTATCCCGTGAAACTCAAAAGAGTGCGGAAAATTCACAGTAAGACGATCGTTTATCTAAGTGATTTCTATCTCTTAACTCAAACCAAGCAAAGAACAGATTATCCATGAAAGATTCGAATTAAACAACAACCCACACTAAGAATAGCAAGGACACCATTCAATATACTCAATCAGTCATCATTCAAGAGACTAAAGAAAGGTTCAAACAGTGCTCAACTATGAAGGAATACTATTGATTAGTAATCTCCATAACCAACAAAGATATGCAACACATACACTATCTCAAAATGCTTATGCCAAAGCACAACTCATCCAACAAAAGAAGGACAAACCCCACAATGGAACTCATGAACACCCACATCATGAATTCGAATACCAAGCCAAAAGAAAGGCTCATCAATCGAACTACTAGAAGTAGTATGCAAATAAGCAGTTTTGTTTTAAAACAATTCTATCAAGAAGCATACTTGAAAAAGAACGGTTTCTGCAAGATCAAAAGATCAAAGACAAGATGAAAACCCTCTTGGTTAAATCATACTTGACACAAAAAATGGACACTCCATTTAACAAAAATTCCTCATAGGAAAAACCCTCAAAAGAGACAACAAAAATGACCACTCAAGGGTGCTTTTGATTTTCGGCCATGCTCCCTATTTATAGGCTTAGGAAATTCGGCCATCCCCACTAAAAGAAGATCAATTAGGACTCTCTAATCTTATCTCACAAGGAGTAGAAGTAGAAGAGTATTTGATCTCTTTGACTCTATCTAAAATCTAGAAATCCTTATCTAAATGACTTATCCTCAAGTAGGATAACTTCTAGAAGGAATCTAAGACTCCTAATCAAAACACTCTAGTTTAATTCAGTCCACATGACTTATTTAACTAGATTAAAATTCGAAAATTAACTCCTAGACTTAGACTAACTCTAATTCTCGAAATTCAGCTCCCAAATTATTGAAGTAAAATGTCTTGAACGCCCTTCCAAAAGTGGAATATTGGTCTTGCACCCCTTAAGTTGTAGAAAACTCCAATTTACTCCAAAACTTGTACAATTCTCTTTATTGACTCCAAAAGATTGGAAAAACACTTGAAACAATTAAGATAGTTTGCAACCTATCCAATTGTGTAGCAATGGACTCAATCTTGAACACTTTGATCAAATAGGCCGTCCATTCAAGAACCTAAATGACTCTTCTCACTAGCTTGATCAATGATCTTCATGGAACACCTAGAGTCAAACTCTCTTGATACTCTTGAGCACTTATTTCCATGAGATCATCATCTCCTTTGGTTTGAACCCCAAAGTGAATGACATTCTCATCATCTTGATCATAGCTCTCTTGAACCAACTCCCTATCACATAGGTAGTCAAGATCCATCCTTTCTTCCATGATTGGCCCGCAAAGTAAACTTGGCATTCCAAAACTAGAATGAAGGACTAGGTCATTCCCCTCGCTAGGAGAATCACCATGGAAGGCTACATGATTCTCATCACCTCTTCAAAAAATAAAAAGGAAAAAGAAAAAAAAAGAATAAAATATTTAGATAAGCATTACAAACAATTTGGATAATCAATGAAATAATTCGATAAGTAATACAAACTGGTTGGATATTCAATACAAAAAATTGGACAATCATTTTCATAAAAGGGTATGGAAAAAAAAATTGCATAACCATCAACAAGTTGAATAATCATTATGAACACATTGGACAGATATTTTATAAAAAGAAAAAAAGAAAAAAAATTCTGTTTGGATAATCAGTGAAAAATGATTGGATAACCAATACAAAACGGTTGGATAGCCAGTAAAAACAATGGACAATGATTTCAAAAAAGAGTAGAGGAAAAAATGGTTGGATAATCTGTGCCAAACAGTTGGATAATAAATGTGAACGCGTTGGGCAACCATTTTTTACAAAATAAACGATTGGATAAGTAGTACAAACATAATGGATATTCAATAAAAAGACGCTAGATTACCAGAAAAAACAAACGGGTAGACATCTTGATTTAAATTCTCTTTGACATTCCCTTCACTTTAAACTAGGTTGGATAAGCAGTACCAATTAGTTGGATGGATAATCAGCATTAACATATTGGACAATGATTTTTCAGAAAAAAAAGATTGGATAACTAGTACAAACAAAATGGATGTCAGTTCAAACCAATCGGATAATCAGTATGAACACAAGGGGTAAGCATTTTCTCGGAAAAAAAATGATTGGATAACCAATAAAAACCGATTTGATAATCTTTCATGAAAAAGAAATATATATATATATATATATATATATATATGGGGAAGCAATATCAAGTAGTTGGATAATCAGTATGAACACATTAGACAAGAATTTTCCAAAGAAAAAAAAAAGAAAAAAAATGATTGGACGAGCAGTACAAACTTATTTGGACAATCAATAAAAAAATAATTAGATAACCAATACAAAATGGTTGGATAATTAGTACAAACAAACTGGACAAGTATTTTCATAAAAAAAAAAAAGAAAAGAAAAAAATGATTGGATAACTAGTACCAAATTGGTGGATAGTCACTACAAACACATTGGACAACCATTCTTAAAAAAAAAGTTGGATAACCAGTGTAAATAAAATGGATAATCAGTTCAAAGTGGTTGGATAATCAGTGTGGACAAAATGGATAATCGGTGGTAACATATTGGACAATGATTTTTTTTTTTAAAAAAATTAATTGGATAACCAATACAAACAAAATGGATAACCATTTCAAACTGGTTGGATAATCAGTATGAACACAATGGATAAACATTTTTTTTAAAAAAAAAGTATATTCCTTCATTTCTGCCCATTAAATTTAAATGCATTTAAAGTTAAAAAAAAATCGATATGGATCTTGTTAGATAGGTCTCATCGAGGACTATAAATTTCATGTGTAATTCATTCACAAATTCTTCACCGATCAAGAGATATATGCAATACAAGAATATCAATATAAAATAAGTTAGTTATCCATGTTTTTAAACTAGATATCCATGTTATTTCTGCCCATTAAAATTTAGTCATGTTAAAACTCGAAAAATTATTTAATATGAATCTCGTTGGATAGATCTTGACGAGTATTATAAATTTCATATGTAACATGTTCTCTAATTCTTCACGGATCGAGAGATATGCTCATCTCAAGATTAGATATGCTTTTTTGAAGGAGAGAGAAAAAAATGACAGGGACTAAACTTGTAAAATATAGAAAGATTGAGAAATAGTACAATAAGGACCCCTAGTGCAAAAAATAGGAAGAGAATTGTGGTGGTTCTGGATGCACCTAAGAATTTGTATATAATATGTAACACCTAAACTAATTCTCTCTTAATTTAATTAAAAAAGACAAAATAGAGAAGAAAATTTAAGAAGGGGAATGAACACACGATACTATATGTACATTAAATTTGAGAAACTCCCACAATAAATTGGACATTTGTTCCCAATATTTACACATTCTTGCATTTTTGATAAACAACTAGGAGTATTCTTTTTTTCCATTATGAAAGTGCCTCAATGTCCATTCCTCTCAGCCATTCAGTAAACAAGGATTTTTTGGTTTGGCACTTCACTCCCTGTGGCCGATACATTGTCTCCTCAGCATACAAAGTCTTACTCAGCCACCCTAGCTACCAACTGAATGCTGCTGGGGCTGCTTCAGACAACACATCCTTCCAAACGGTGTACAGGAAGCTGTGGAGCATAGAGATCTACCCAAAAGTGAAGCATTTTATTTGGAGAATGGTCACTAACTGCTTAGCAACACAAGAAAATTTGAGGAAAAGGGATCTCTCCACCAACACTGCATGTGCTTTTTGTGGCTCTCCAGATGCACCTCTTTTTCAACTGTTTCTTCGCAAAGGAATACTGGACAAAGCTCGACCTTTGGAAGTCAGTTGAAAAATTCAAGTATGGCCCCTGGCCAAGCAATCTACTGGACCTTTTAGAAAAATTCCTAAAAAAGATGTTTCAAATTTGGTCAATTGGATGCTATAATATTTGGAGTACCCGGAATTTGTTACTTTTCGAGAATAAAAAACGAAACATTGAGGCGATACTGCAAAGAAGTGGATCTATGCTCAATACTGGGATCAACGAAAGGCTCCACCACAACCTAACATCCCAGACGCCAGCAAATCCGACCAACACCCTCCACAGTTTCAACAGAAACATTGTCCTATTTGATGGAGTAATCAACTCCAATGATTTCCTTTCGGTAGTAGAAGTTGTAATTTGGAATACGCAGACAGGATTCAAGGGATGCTTCGCCAAAACCTACTCAGGCTTGTTTAGCCCATTGGTCATCGAAAGCTTAGCAGCTTGGGAAGGTATTGTGCTGGCGTTATCAAAAGGCATAAATCACCTAACCCTAGCTGGTGACTCGTCATTAGTAATTCATCGCCTAGAAGTAGATGATAGTGATCTCTCAGACCCAGACCTGATTCTGTCTGATGTAAAATCCCGCTTTGAGAACTTCTTAGATTTCAGTTGTTGTTGGGTCAACTGTAGATTAAATGTCTTTTCACATAGTCTAGCCCAAAACGCAAAGTCCAAGCGTGGTTTTGAGAAATATTGGGAATCTATTCCCGTATTTGTACGTCAAATTGTACTGGACGTTTTTCCAGTATCTCATTAATGAAATTCATTTTCCTTAAAAAACAGGCACATATATAATAATATTATAAGGTGACTTGACTGACTTTATTTATTTCCAGGTAGTTGCAGCCAGCCTGGTGGTTAACTTACTCATGTTTCTTCAAGTTCGTAAAAACTACAAATTGTCCCGTCTAGCTACTACTATAGCCGATACAATCTAAATAAACCGAACATTATTGTTTTCACTATAATTCAACCATATTTATAATTATTCCATTGAACAGTTCAATTGCACATATTAATTCTGAAAAAATTTTGGCATTCCAAACAATCTCCAGCAATTAAAAGAATTTAATGTTGTACAATTATTGGACATTATATAAAAGATGCATGTATTGCTTTTCTTTATTTATTTATTTTTTAAAAAAGGATGTATGCTTACATGCATAGTTCTATTACTCTTCTTATTTGGTAGGCAGTCCACAAAAACATGTATAGTTCTATTCATCATTCAGTGCATATTTATGATGTCATCCTTATTTGTTGAAAATACTCGTGGATTCAAAGCGATTGATTTATTTCATGTTCTGTAAAATACAAATGGTAGTATTATCAATTCACCATCAAAATGAATCACAAAGAAATGCCGATGGGGAAAAACATGGATTTTTCTTTTTATTTGTGAAGTTTTTGTAGTTGGTGTAATTGTTGTTTCTTTTTGGTATTGATATTTATAAGGTTCCAAAGTTGAGGAAGAGCATGTTGTAGGATTCGATGAAGCAGCGGAGGAAGTGGAAAAACTTCTCACTGGAGCTCCAGAATGTTTAGAAATTGTTTCAATTGTGGGAATGTTAGGACTTGGGAAGACAACCCTAGCAAGAAAATTGTTTAAGGATCCGGATGTTGATTATGAGTATATGATTCAGGCTTTTGTTTATGTTTCAAAAGACTATGATAGAAAAGATGTGTTTCTCAAGTGCTGAATTCTTTTACACAAGTTAGCAATTATGTGAGAAACAAGATAGCAGATGAGTTAGAAGTGTATCTCCATAAAACATTACAAGGAAACAATACCTGGTTGTGTTAGATGATATATGGGAAAAGGAAGATTGGGATAATTCCAAAGGCGTTTTTCCAAATTACGAGAAGCGTTGCAGAGTGTTAATAACTACTCGCAATGACACAGTGGCTGAGTATGCAAATCCACATGTAGAACCTTATAGGCAGAAATTCTTGGAACTACATGAGAGCAGAGAATTACTTGCATGGCGAGTTTATGGTAAAAAGAGTTGCCCCAAGGAATTGGAAGAGCATGAGGTAGAAATTGCAGAAAAATGTGTTGGACCACCATTGGCCATCGTAGTTATTGAAGGTATCATTTGGAATGATAAGGAGAGTGTTAATTGGTGGAGGGTAGTGGCAGTTAGTGTAAGGGATTATATGGCCAGGGATTAAGAAAAAACTACCAAGGTCATAGAGCTTACGTATAAACACTTGCCAAACTACTTGAAGCCGTGTTTTCTCTATCTTGGCAGCTTTAGAGAAGACTTTGAGATTCCGGTGTGGAAACTAACGTGACTTGGATTGTTGAAGGTCTCTTACAACAGGAAGGGAATGAAAACTTTGAGGATATGGCCGAACTATACTTGGATGAGCTCATACATAGAAACCTTGTGATGGTGGGAAGAAAAAGGTCAAATGACAAAATTAAAACTTGCCGTATGCATGACACATTACGTAAATTTTGTAAAAGTATAGCGGCAGAGGAAAATCTTTTTCACAAGATCAAGAAGGATAAATCTCCATTCTCTTTGGCTAAGGCATTTTTGGATCCTCGCCGGCTTTGCCCCAACAATGTGAATGTCATTAAGTACATGAATGAAAACCCTTCCGGTAAGTGTGTCCAATCTTTCTTAACTTTTTGTCAAAGAAGAAACGACCATTGACGCAGGACTTGTCTCTTGCCTCCCAAAAACGTTCATGCTTCGTAGAGTTTTGGAGATTCAATCCCTTATTTTCACTCGATTCCTGTTGACCTTAATTATCTAATTCTCTTGAAGTACCAAGCTATATCTTCCAATTTTTCGATTCTCCCTTCATCGATGTCTGACTTGTGGTGCTTGCAAACTCTTATAGTACAAATGACATCTCCTAACCTTGACATCAAAGCAGACATATGGAAGATGTTACAGTTTAGGAATTTGCATTCAAATGCATCCAGTAGCTTCCCATGCCCTAAATTCCTTGAGAAGAAGAGTAAGGAGGATGCTTTGGCAGGTGAGAATATCCAAACATTATCCACCATCTCTCCGGAAATTTGCACAAAAGATTTGTTTGATAGAACTTCCAATCTCAAGAAGTTAGGTATAAGAGGGGATTTAACCAAGGTTGTCAAGGCCAATGGCGACTCCAGCTTATTCGAGGAGCTTTGCAAACGCAAGTACCTAGAAAATATGAAGCTGCTCAATGATAATGCCTCCAAGAAATTGTACTCTCTTCCATTATATAAAAGCTTCCCTAGGCATTTAAGTAAGCTGACTCTAACAAAAACTTTTTTGCCTTGGAAAGAGATGTGTACATTAGGCAAGTTAGAGAAACTTGTGGTCTCAAGAAAAGAACACACGTTCAAAGGAAACTGTTGGAACACCGAAAAGGGTGGTTTTCCCTGTCTCAAGAACTTGTACATTGGACACATGGAATTGGTGGCTTGGGGAGAAGCTTCAGCTGAACATTTCCCAGTATTGTGGAGTCTGGTATTATATAACTGCGATAAACTCACTGATCTTCCACACGGATTGGAGGATATCTCGAGTTTCCAATCAATTGTCCCGCACTGCATCCTTCGGTGGCTTTCTGCTAGGAAACTTGAATTGGCTAAGATAAAGAAAAAAGACAATAGAAACAACAGCTTTAAGCTCTGCATTTACCCTCCAGATCATTGATTGATCACCAATTGAACACAAGGACAAAAGTACCAAGAACATGCACTTTTTGTGTCAGGTTAGTAAAATAAACACATGTTGGTTTTATTCAACTTTCTCGATTCTTAGTAATTGTATTGATAAGCTTCTGTTACTTTTTGTTCCCTTTTAAGATTTTATATCAGTGATCTTTTGTGATTGAAGAATTTTGTGTTGTCTCCATCATGAAACCATTCAATCTATGCATAGCTAACTGGAGATTTGAGAGGAGATGAGAATTTCATTTATTAATTCAATGTAGTTTTTGTTGTTATCAGGTTGTGATTGCTTCGTTTGGAGTTAAAATACACTGTATCAATTTGTCAATTTGTGTTTTCTAAGAACTGATCTTGCCTTTTTTCTTCTTTGAAGAACAAAGTCTAATTAAAACTTTCATTTTCCACTATTTGATTTCGGCATCTAACCTAAAATGAGTAGCTAATTTGTAAAACCTTGCTAACTAGTACTTGCAAACTCAAATACTTAATGACATAATTTGCTATCCTAGATTACTCATCGAATACAAGAACTTTAATCATATTGCTTTTGGGAGGTTTTTGCTTTCTCTACTTGTTGGTGAGTTTGAGTTATTAGTAGTATAATACTTCTGTCTCAGAAATAGATTCGTCTTCCTTAACATTTTCTTTCTTTACGTTTGTTTAATTTTGTATACTTTTGGACTTCACTTTATCGATATCAATATATCATCACTAATATGATTATGTGCTAGATTTATCTTTATTATACTAGTCTACTTATCGAAATGTTGTGAAACAACGAATATGATGTGCTCACCAACTAATTAAACTGTACACTAATAAAAAAGTTGCGAAACAACGAATGTAATCCTCACCAATTAAGGTAGATAAAGATACTCCACGTGGCCACTTGACGTCAATTATTAAATTTTTCCACTTGGCAATTGATATAACACTACAAGAAAAAAGAGTTATAAAGACATTTAAAACTGTCACCAAAATGAGTCTATCATGACACTTAATCTAAAAGGGCGGTGATTGTAAATGCCTTCTATGCCAATGTGATATTAGTGTCTCATTCTTTTAAGACACTTTTTATGCAGAATTAGAATCATTAACCGTCACGTGACTACTTTTATAAGAATTCATAAATGCCTTGATAGCTTATGATTTTCTTAAAAAAGAATTTAATATATATTTTTCATTATTAATAAACAAATGAAAATTTATTTTATTAAATTAAACAAAAACCTACTGCATCAATTAATAACGTAAGTATAACCTACGTCAAAACATCAAACACTTCACATCCAACCATAATCATATCAAGATTCCAAAAGTACATGATACAAGTAGGCTAATTCCATATAATTCAGAATCTAAATCTTGTAGACTAATTGGAAGCTCTAACTTGTTGCTTCATATTCTCCAATGAGTAAAACCTGAAATAACCAACACAAAAATAAAAAATAAGTTCCATAATGAACATCTATTCCACTTGTTAGAACTTTTAGATTAACTGAATTTCATAATGTCACACTGTCTTTCAACAAATCACAATATGGTTAAGATTAAGCTAGAGAAGAAACCTTACTACTTATTCAGGTCTCATAAGAAGCACCAACCACTGGCAGAAGGTGAAGCAATTCGCTCAAACAGAATCTATAAAAATATGGTTTACAAACTTTAAGGTAACAAAAGCTATAGCAAAAGACAAAGCAAAATTCTTCAACTCTAGCAATCCTTTTTGCCCTGAAAAACTTTTTCCACTATTTTGTTAATAACACTCTAACGAGAATCGATTGGAAGTAGAGTCCTCCAATCAAAATTAACCATTTACGTTGCTGGGAAATCTTCTGGGTTTTAAGAAGAAATGTTCGAAACGCTATTGTTTCATTGTTCAATCTTCCAAATATTAATAATATATATCAAAGCAAAATTCATTCAGGAATTAGAATACTCACAAAAATTCATGAACATCTCTTTTCGAATTGGACGACCTTCAGCTTTCAACCTCACTTCCCATGTTAAACATAATCTCTAAATCTGAGTTCCAAGAAATACATAAACTTACAGGCTACAAACAACAACAAAAAACAAAATTAGCGGAAAGTGATAGGTGCTTGAGAAATTGAACAGATAAAAAAATTCACTAATTAACTAATCGTTTGATCACATAATAAAAACAATCGATTATATTCATATCACAAATTTAGTCAAAAGTGATAGGTGCTTGATTCGGTGAAGGTTTGGAAGAAGACCCCAAGTAATGGAGAACGTGGAGCATGCGTTTGTTTTCCTCTATGATTTTTTACTCTCTTCATTCTTTATTTTTTTACCCCTCAATTACTAATGTGAATTAACTAGGGAGATACGAGGTGTCTTCTTACTAATGTCATAATAGGAGTGCCACTAAAGCCTAACCCAATTATAGAACACCTAAATGCCTTCTTTGATCCTCTTTTAAGACATTTAGTACTAGTGTCTTAATATCTGCACTCTAATAAGACATTTTGATGGATAATGTCTTGTTACATGTATCAGGAAAGACCTACTTTCTTGTAGTATAAGTTCCATGTAGTGTACCTTTCAAAATTTTAATGCATTTATAGATTTACCTTAGTCTATTCGGTCTCATAAAAATAATTATATGTTTGCTAAATTAAACTGACAATAAACAATAGTCTTCTTATGGATTGATGACTGTCTTGTTCTCCTGATTTCCAATGCCACAGTCCACCTACAATTCTTCACCCTTCGTCTATTGTCTCGTCTTTGATCAATCAAGATTTTGGTAGGTGGAAACAAAACCTGATTCATCAGATTTTTACTACAGAGGAGGCTGAATTTATTCTCTTAATGCATCTTAGCGGGAACTCTTCAATAGATAGGTGGATGTGACATCCAGCTAGCAATGGTCATTCCATTGTTAAATCAGCATACAATACTCTTATGGATTCTTCGATCAATGCTATTGATCTCCATCCTGCCGTTGAAGAAACTTCAGAGGATCAAGCTTTTTTGGAAAAAAAAATCTGGAAACTCCGTCTGCCAAATCACATCCTGCATTTCTTGTGGAGCTGCGCTACTGATTCCATCCCAAGTCTTGAAAATTTGGAATGGCGTGGCTGTTTCATGGATCAGGTGTGTCCTCTCTGTCAATCTCCTGACGGTTCGACGGCTCCTCTATTTTTCTGGTGCTCATTTACTTCCCAAGTTTGGCGCATAGCAGGAATTAGGGACTGCTTACTAAGATTTCATCAACCTTGGTGGACTCTCCGGACTAAAATGATTGTTCTTAAATGCGATAGAGCTGTGTCTGAATTATTTAGAGTTATCTGTGATTCTCTATGATATGCCAGAAACAATATGATGTTTGCGGATAAATGGATTCAGCCGGAATTACTGGCCACGAATTTAATCACTGTCCTACAAGAATTTCAATCGGTCAATGGTTTTGCAGAGGCTTCATCTTCTACTCTACGTTCCCGCCACTTGATTGCTCCTCCTTCACTCCATAACTGCATCTTTATTTATGGAGCAATCTCGAAAATTCGCCAATGCGCAGGGCTTGGTGTTTATGTGAGAGACACTTCGGGAAAGTTTCAATTTGCCAAAGGAAAAGGGTATCACCTCGCCTGAACTTGCGGAATTCATGGAATTGAAAGAAGCTCTCCTAACCCTAAAAGATTCTCAATCTTCAAAATGTTATAGTTTTGGGTGACTCATCCGTTGCTATATTAGCTACGGTTGGTGAAGCAGATTGTTCTCTAGCTAATTTGCCTATCCTTTGTGATATCCGTCTCCTCCTCTCGGAGCTTTCTTTAATGATTTGTATTGGATTCCTAGATTGAAAAATGGTATAGTACATGCCATAGCTAATCATGTGAAGTCAAATGTAGCTTTAGTTAAAACTTGGTCATCTCTGCCAAGTTTTTGTATCAATCAGAGCTGGCTGAATTCCAGCAAGTTTAATTAAGTATCCTCTTATAAAAAAAAAATCTTCTTTAGTTAAAACTTTATGATCAGCACTTTGATTTGTTCAAAAACCATGACTTGCATTCTTCCTTGAGAGAAGAAGTAACCCAAATCACCCCCAAGAAAGATAAATACGACTATAATTTGATTCGTGACACAAAGCCAAATAATGATGCATTGCAAAAAGAGCTGGAATCCTTGAATGCCATAATGAACCGATTTTGAGAAGTACAATTACGACACCAATTACGTCAAATTAACGAACCCTGAAGCAAATCAGGAAAGTGATCAGAGAAGCTGATGCGCGCGGTAAAGACTTAATTACTACTTACTTCGGACAACCGTCAATAATCCCTGGAGTTGGATCATCATTACTTTGTTCAGTCAAATCATGGATCCGATGATGCTTTGGGATTTTAGGGATTCATAGAGTATCAAGCAAATATATGATGGGATTAAGATGATTATAGACAATATAATGTCAACAAGTGTTATGTTGCACTGTAGTTTGAGGCTACCAATAACCTTAATCTTCCAGCAAAGTCAAAACAGGTACTCTCTTTGGTCCCACAATTAGAAGACACAAATTAGCACTAAATTTGATCCAAAATTTGTGAGTTATAATTAAAACCAGAGGGAGTACAGGTGACGCTATGGAAGATTGTCACAATTTTGGATTGCATACAAATACGTCCACAATTATACCATGTCCACGACCCCCGGGAAAAGAAAAATATGGAAGAGGTGTTTGATAAAACTCCCAATCTGAAGAAATTGGGTATACGCCGGAATTTAAATGAGCTTATGAAGCCACATGACGATGATTCTAGCTTCTTTGAATAACTTCGAAGAATTGAATCAATCTAAAACATAAATTAGGATGTTTCTTTCAATCTGTGTGGGTTTCCTTCAGACGAAAGCTTTCTGAAGCTATTGAAGAAGTTGCCTTTTTGTCTTTTAACTGGAAACATAGATGTCTACACTGGGGAAGTTTAAATGTCTTAAAGGTACTCAAGTTACAAGAATATGCATTTGGAGGGAAGTATTGGGAGACCAGAGAAAATGTGGTTTTTTGGTCCCATAATTAGAGTCATAATTTTAAAGAGCAGTGACAGAGCCAGTGAAAAAATATAATGACATTTTGTAGTGATTGATGTGGACATTGTAATTGAGGGTAAAATATATAATTTTTTGGGGGGGGGGGGAGAAAAATTATCTACGGGAAAGTGGCTACAATATGGGGGGGGGGTCATAATTCTATTTAACTAAAAAAGTGGATACACTTCAGTCACTATAACTTTTCACTATATATTTTCACTATCCTTATCATTTTCTAATTTTAAAATATAATGTAAATGTATGCTTACAATCTATGAAATTGAGAATATAAAGTTAAATGAAAAAAAAAAAAAGACTACATCAAACAATATTTTCTACTACAAGGCGGGGTCTTTGATTTTCCTAGCACTTGATTTCCTTCAGACCGTAAAATACTAGAAAGTAGGATCCGTGACTCTTTCCTTTCTCTTCCAAAACAAGAACTGGGAGATCCCTGAGAGCTTGGAGAGCAAGAACTTGGTTTCGCGTTCGATTTCTAAAAAAAGCGATGGAGCCAAAAGTTTTACAAGAGAATTAATGTGAAATTTGTAAAATAAACTGAAAACACTACAATTTGTTAAAAATGAGTCCAAATATTTTAAAAAAAACGTCTGATTTTCTATTAAAAGTTTTGCATATCCATCACTAAGGGCAAACAACTACTTGGTTATTGGATTACAACCTCATCATACAATTCAAAATTAGCCTCATCACTTCCCTGTAAACATTAGCTACATTAACATGGTTTAATTGAGACCAATAAAAAAATTCACTAAATGATAAAAATAATAAGATAATAGTTCTTTCAATATGTTCCTACCTATAAATAAAATGTCCTTCAACAACATAAATTAATAGAAAGACTTACAACAATATGTAATTTTTAAAATTTATATCCACGGCAATAAGTTAAAATTTTTATAATTGTGAAATTCATTTACAATCACTTAACCTTTAAACAAATTGGGACGTTCCTCTTTCTAAAAAATCTCTTTAAACCAATAATTTATTTAGTTATTGATAAATTAACGTAGCTCACTAAATCAATAAAATATGGAGATTCAAATACTATTAGTTAATGAAGAAATTTACTTTTTGGTTGAACTGCCAATATCGATTGAGGAATACTACTGATTGAAGTTATCAATCACCACTGAAAACCTAACTCCATGTTATAAATCACCAGAAATTGTTTAAAATAATAATGGATTGACGAGAAAATTAAATTTTTACTAGATCAATGTATTATGTTTTGAGGATATATTACGATCAATTCAAATGCATTGAGGTATTTATTTATTTATTTTTGGATTTAATCATGTTGCAGTGTTGAAATAATAAGAGTCAAAACTTTGTTAATGAATTCACAAATAGCAAGAATCTCCTCCTTTTTTGTTTTTTCTCATTGAAAAAAAAAAAAACGTTCTGATTGAAAGACAAATGTTTCATAGATAAAAAATTAGTTAGCATCTCAAAAGTCAAGGTCAACGATTTATTACATTCAAAGAGAGCTTTAACTAAATTTCATAAATGGCTAATCTTCCAAGAAGAGAATTAAAAAAGACATCTGTTTCTAATGAATTCGTTAATGTCCTTGTCTGCACACTACGGCTTCCTTCATAGTGACATTTAGTAATAGATTATTCTAGTCTGAGTATAGTGTATGCTCATTAAGTGACTATGTTTTGAAGGAAAAAAACAAACATCTAATAAGTTTTGTGTTAAAAAGATAATGTAAGATTTGACGAAAGATATGCTTTACTCTGGCCATTTGTAATGTAATCTGCATTTATTTCTTTCTTTCTCCTTTTTTTTTTTGGAGAAATTTCTTTATTTCTCCCTGTTATAAGATGTGGAGAGCTCACCAAGGGCAATGGAAAAAAAATAAAAAAAAAAGAAAATATATTATAAGGTCAAATTAAACAATGTTTCTCTATAGCAAGAATCTAGAGTTACATTTCCTAGCATTTATACTGTTGTTTAGCTTCCTACAAGATTGCCATGCAGAACCTGAATACTATGAATTCAATGTAAGTGAAGATGTTTCCTCTCTCATTTTCTTGTTAATGTCATTATTCTATAGAGCACATCTTGATTACTTCTTCCAAAGAGTTTTAAGATGTTATTGTAGCTAAATAATGTTTTACAATGTCTTCCTGATTGCAAGTTAGTGTACATCAAGTAAGTGAACTTTAGGCTTTTGGAGAAAAGTATTGTTTGGCTTATCTATATTTGAATGGATAGTTAACTATTACAAGAAGAAAGAAGTCTAACTATATGAATGTAAATTTGAGAGAAACGAGAAAATCAGATAAAAAAGTTTGGGAATTATGTGAAAATGGCCCTTGAAACGCAAAACGATGTTTGAATCAACATCTAAAATGAACCTTAGCTATAGAAACAAAATACATTAAAACAAACAAAACAAAATAGTGATTTATTTTTTACTCTAACTTAACAACCAAAAGAGATCAATATCTGAAGCCGAGAAATGAGTGATAATCTAGTGATAAGACTGATAGTTGATTTTTGAAATCAAAACCAGTCGTAAAACAATGATTGAGGTTGGGGTGAGGGTTTATGGAGCGACGAAAAAAAGTTTATACAACCTGTGGCTATTTGATCATTGGATAATATTTTTGGAAATTGTTAAAATCATGAAGTTAATTAACATGTTCTTCTTATAGATTTTTATATAACTTATCAACTCTGAGTTGTTGGAATATATTTACGCATGTATATAACTGGATTGAAAATTGATTTGTAAGTTTCTTTTCATATGTTATAATAGGTGAGGGAAGTTGAATTCACAAGATTATGCAGTTCAAGGAAGATACTCACTGTGAATGGACAATTTCCAGGCCCGACTATAAATGCTCATAGGGGAGAAACAATTACTGTCAAAGTTAATAATGAAGGAAATTATAACATCACATTTCATTGGTAAGAGATCCATCGTATATATTTTAATAGGATTTCGTATTGGAAAATATTAGAACCATTTTAGTCCAACACTCTTGAAACAAAACTACGCATAACTTTGAACTTATATTTATCTATATGTTTTTTTTTTTTTTTTACTTTTATCATTAATTTTTAGAAAAAAAATAATTAGATAATGAATTAAAAACGGCAGGCATGGAGTAAAGCAGCCAAGAAATCCATGGTCAGATGGTCCAGTATATATAACACAATGTCCAATTCAACCGGGCAAGAGTTTTACACAACAAATAATACTATCCGACGAGGAAGGAACTCTTTTTTGGCATGCACATAGTGATTGGTCACGCGCCACCGTTCACGGTGCTATTGTCATCTTTCCTCCGTCTGGTTCCGACTATCCTTTTCCTAAGCCCTATGCTGAAGTGCCCATAATTATAGGTAAGCTGTAAGTAACAATTAGTTCAATTTTATTTAAAAAAATGATTAATTTAGCAAGTCAAAATCGAACGTAACGCATATTTTAAACTGACAAATGGAATTTTGACTCGGTGACTAAAAGGACACTTAATTGTATTGTGATACGAAATGACTTGCACAAATGCATTTGGCATTGAATATTCAACAGGAGAATGGTGGAAGAAAGATGTGATGGTTGTTTTAAAGGAGTTTATGGCATCTGGAGGACAACCTATAGTTTCTAATGCTTTCACAATAAACGGTCAGCCTGGAGATTTATATCCTTGCTCTAAACAAGGTTAGGTTCACTTTCTATCAATGCTTAATTATTTCAGCCAATAACAATCACAATTACATACATTGCCCTTTCTATTTCAAAGATCGCTCTTGCATATAAAATTTGTATGTAAAACCATCTATTTTGATTATTTTGTATCGAACGTGTCTCATTGATGTATATGAACTTGTTTTAATTACTTTTCATTTTCATGTCATTTTCTTTAATGTAACAGATACATTTAAGCTGGATGTGGTACGAGGGAAAACTTACCTCTTGCGAATAATCAACGCTGTAATGAACGAAATTCTATTTTTCGCCGTAGCGGATCATAAACTCACTGTGGTTGGCGCGGATGCTAGCTACACTAAACAATTAACAAGTGACTTTGTTGCTATCTCCCCTGGTGAAACCCTAGATTGCCTCCTAGTTGCTGATCAACAACCTGGACAGTATTACATGGCCGCAAGAGCTTATGTTAATGGTAAAGATGTCTTTTTTGACCACACAACCACAACAGCAATAATCAAGTACGACGGTTCATCTTTGTCACCAACTCCCAAAATGCCGCGACTTCCTGCTTACGATGATACTGATTCGGCTACGGATTTTAGTGGAAGCTTGAAAAGTTTAGCTAGTGAAGACCATCCAATTGATGTCCCGAAAGAAGTGGACAAAAATTATGAAATCACTGTATCCATTTCAGCATTTCCATGTGAAAAATGCACCGGCCCAAATGGAACCCGGTTGGGAGCTAGCTTGAACAACATATCATTCGTGAACCCGTCGATCGATGTGTTAAGCGCGTATTATCATGGTATTGGTGGTGTTTTCGGGAATGATTTTCCGACAAACCCACCGTTGGTATTTGATTTCACGGCCGACGTCTTACCTCTTGAGTTTCAAATATCGGAAAGGAAGACAGAAGTGAGAGTGATCGAATATGGTTCTGTAGTTGAGGTGGTTCTTCAAGGGACAAATTTGGTTGTCGGAATGGATCATCCAATGCATCTTCATGGATACAGTTTTTATGTTGTTGGTTGGGGATTTGGCAACTATGATAAGAATAAGGATCCTCGCAAGTATAACCTTGTAGATCCTCCCCTACGCAATACAATTGCTATCCCAAAGAAAGGCTGGACTGCTATCAGGTTCAAGGCAAACAACCCTGGTAATCTACATTTTGCTCTTTCTCCGTCCCATTATTTTCATATTAATTTAAAATTTTATTTTTAGTGCGATTTATATAAAATTAAAATCTACAATGAACAATGATTTTAAGATAGTAGAAGTATTATTTATTACTATTTTGTGCATAGTAAAGTTTGGATGGAAAAAATATTGTTTCATACGTATCATCTTGCGTGGTATAATCAATTTTATAGAATAAACTCTTGTTAGTATTGTCTAATGGAATTAATGTTAATGTAGGAGTATGGCTAATGCATTGTCATATAGAGCGCCATCTTTCATGGGGAATGAACACAATATTTATTGTAAAAGATGGTCAGAGTCCGGAAGAGAAGATGCTACCGCCACCAGAGATGCCTCCATGCTGAAAGGAAAGCATGATATATGAGCTTGAATTCTACACAACATCATCTTCTTTAAATTTAGAGAATTTGAAACTTTGATTCCAAAAATTATTATGTTTTTCTTCTGTTTTGCATAATTCTATGATGGTTGGAATTTTCTGAATGTAAGTTGAATTTATTAAGGTTTGGGTTTTGTTTCAAGCTTCTCCGTTCGGTGTTAACTCAAGTACTACATAAACCAAATAGTTATTAAGAAATAAAGCCATACACAAAAGTAAAACAAAATGAATCAAGTCCAAAAGGTTTTATATTCAATTCATTCTAGTAGCTCTATGTAAATGCAAAGGTACCGTTTTCATTTGTCAACCTCGATGTGCTTTTATATTTTGTTTATTTACTAATGCATTATTTTCCTGAATTGTATACTTTCTAAGTGATTTATCTTTTGCATCTAAAGACTGACAATAATTTGGAAGAAGGCCGTGATTAAGGTTCCCTCGGCAAAAAAATAGTTCATATTAAGTTCTAAAATGGATACTAAACTATTTTATTGAGACAGAGTGAGTAATAATTTAACAAGAAAATTAATAAAACATTTGACTACATGGCCTCTTAAACATGAGTACATGACCATGGCATATGATCAACAACTTCATCATCCCTCGAAATCACCGCCATATCAAAACGTACGACATTCTTTTTGGTAACATGGAACTCCAGCAGAAGGCCAGAGTCGTCGTCCCAACGAAGACGGATGCTTACTGCGTGACCGCCGCGACAACTTGCTCGAAAAGGTCAAGGTCAAGATGACACGACACCGGTTTCAACACATTGAACTTTAAGATTCAAGCTTGCCGCGGGATAAAAGAGAGAATAACCTTGCGAGCCGAACTTAACACCATTAAAGGCCGATAAAACTCTAACAAATTTACTATGGCAAAGTGTCACAGTAGCATCATAATTTAGGTCGCTGTCGACGTGGAAACCCGACAACATGTCGACGTAACTTAGGGCCAATACAGAGTCATCAACAGGGTTGTCATCAGTTTTGAAAAGGATAGCATTCATCTCTTGGACGACCTCGATGGAGACGGTACCCTTATTATCACATTCTCGTCTATTCAGAAACCGTGTAGCTTATGGAGATTTAACCCGCGGACGGCGGTAACAGGAAGGCCGCCACGGATTAAGATCGGAGATATGAGTTGAAACGAGACAGTGGCACCCGCGGGTTTTGCCGTATAAGGATAACTAGCGGCCGGAGATTACAAATTCTGGATCCTTCACAACACCCCCGACGGCTGTCAAAGCCCTCCGCTACAAACGACTCTTAAATTGTTGAGGCGTATCGTCACCCAACAAGGAGAAGCTGATGAGTAAGCTTGGGTTTTTTTTTTTTTTTTGGAAACGAGGAGTTGGAACAAGTTAAACCAGGAATTCATATGGCGATCATTGACTTTAACAATCGCCGAATGAGCGACATCAACATTGTCGGAATCATGTAGATGAAAATTAAAAAGCAACAACTGGCACAGGGAGACACGAGCTAGAGAAGAAGTGAATAAGCAACAACTGATTTCGGTATGTACAATTTTTAATGAGGGATATTTATAAATTTTTATTGGTGGCTTTTTTTTTTATGGAGACAAGAAGAATGTATAATGAAAAACAAAAAATTATGATATCAATTTTTTTTCTTTTTTTGTTTCTTGGGTATCAGCTATCATCCATATTAATAGTGTTCAAGAAAGATGAGGGACATGTTAATAGCAAATGTAAGAAATTGATAAGAAGCCTCTCTCTTTTTAAATGCTTCGTTATGAAAAATTGTGTCATTTTTGTTTTTACTATTTTGTCAATGTTCCCAATTCAATGATAAAATTCATCCCAAAACTTTAAATTTTTCATTCAATTTAGCTCTAAGAGTTTACAAATTTAGGTGATTCAATCAATTTAACGAAGAAAAAGAAAACACTAACTTAAAAAACACAAATTTTTGTTTGTTTGATTTTCTTGATGGTTTTTAAAAATTAATATATTAATAACTTTCGCATCCTAACTTACCTTTTTACATTTCCAATACACTTTTTTACATTCCCAATTTTTAAAACGCCTAAAAACACACACTAAAAAAACTAAACAAACACACCTAACGATTATATTACAATATTAAAATATTATAATATTACAATATTATATTACAATATTCGTTATTTTCAACAAGCAAAAAATTATTTCAAAAAATTTATAAATAGAATACGACGATTTATACAATTGCAACTCATATATATATATAAATTTAATTTACTCGCCATTCCATTTTATTTTTAACACATGTAAATTCTTTTTTGAATGTCATAAGTTTACGCCATATGTAAAACAAAAATACAAAGTTGCCCGCCTCTTGAGCTACGGAAGAGCACGTGTTGCAAGCGTGCAATTTAGTTCAAAATCAGAATCATTTCTATCTTTCTCTGTGTTCTTCCAATTCAATGTTGACGAACTAAACAAATGGTTTAGCTGGGAAATGACCCAAATTCGGTAAGTTGTTCTTGCCTCTATGTTTTCGATGGTTAAGAAATTATTATAATCAGTGATGTGTCTTTTGATTTAGCATACGGGTTTGCTTTGTTTTTGCAGACACTGGTGTTTTTTAATCTTCTATCATTCTATGTGCTTCAATTGAGTTTCATTTTGTTTCTTTTTCTGATTGGAGGTCTTTTTTTCTGTTGTAATTTTGTGCTTCTTGTGGTGATCAATATAAGTATCCTATTGCTCAAAGAATTGAAGCAGCCTAAAAATCTTTTTTTTTTTTTTTTGGGTACAATATTGTTTCATGATTGAAGAGAATGAGAGCAATGTTAATCCCTTGACATTGAATTTGAAAAGCGAAGATTATATTATGGATGATTTTAAGTTCTTCGTAGCTAATCATGGTTGTTCCACCTCATGCATCTTTTGTGTTTGCAGAATAAAGAACTATGAGAACAGACACAAAATTCAGTGGGTTCTTTGTCTTTGAGAATGTTGAGTACTAAATCTTTGGCCTGCAATGTCAAGTAGCTATTTTATGTTGTTGGCTTTCTTGGAATAGTGATTCGGGTACCATTCAATTGTTAAAGTTAAATCAATTTCTTGCTCTCCTTTAGGTGGTTTTTCGTAATGGATCTTAAAATTGATCAGCAGAAATCAAATCCACACAGTGTACAATGTTTACAAAGAATTGTTGGATCAATAGTGCGCCGCATCATTCTGATCTCATAAAGTTCTCTAATTATGAAACAAACTCCTGTTACCTTAGACACTCGAACAAAAAAAAAAAAAAACAGGGAAGAAATGAAGAAAGAAAGCAAAGAGCAAACGTGAGCTGTGGAGTACCTAGGAGTTGTTTTCAGGCTTCATTGTGTAGTTAGCATTGTTCACAGATTGGGTTCACTGTGCACAAGTTTCTGTATTTATTGTCCATCCTGTATCACTTGCCCAACATCAGGGAGGACGAACTGCCAAATCATCAAGTTACTGTCAAAAACCAGACACAACTTTTGAAGGTATGAAAACAAGATCTCAGCTTTATTTTCCACAGATTAAATTACCAATTTACAACTCTGGTATTTTTTATATTGCTGAGTAAAAAAGATATGTGCCAGCTGACCAAGACTACTTATCTATCCCTATTTGCTGACTGAGTTACTGACTATCTCCTAACTAATTGGTCTATGTGTACTGAGAGGTCAACCAAGTGGTGGAGTTGTTCTTAGCTGAATCTGCAACTGCAGGATGCTCTGGTGCATCCATTTCAGCTTTTAGTGCATTTGCATCATGATATCGTAACATCTTCCCCTCAAGATGATAGGATTAAAGTAGGCTAATCTTTGACAGGGTAGTTGAAAACTGAGCAGGTGGAGACTTGTAAATGGTATCTGCCAGTTGCAAATTAGATGGCACCTGAGCAGGTTGGATAAAGCCAAATATTTATTGATCGAACAGCATGCATGACTAATTTTCTTGATATGCTTCCTTCTTTCATGTAAAACTAGTTAGCAAATATTGTGTAGCGGCTGGCATGTTGTCACACCCGTAAGAGATAGGTAGTGGAACTGAAATGTTGACATTCTGAAGTAAATAATGAAACCACTGAGCTCACACACTGTAGTATCCTTGCTTCTATACTTCTGCTGGCGAACCAAGAACTAGTAGCTGGCTTCTTAGTTTTTCAAGAGATTAGGGAAGTGCAAGGAAGATGCAGAACCCTGTGAGACTGCTAGGTAATAGGGCAAGTTCCCAAATCAGCATCACAATAGACCTTTGAGCTGAGAGAAGCACAACTGGAGTTGAATAACCCTTTGGAAGAACAACCTGGATGGTTTATTTTTTTGATGCTGATGGACCTGATTAGCAGCACGTGCAGTTCAGGCCGGGTGAATGAAACTGAAACCTAAACTAGAGAGAAATGGCATTTACACTGTTTTACGATCCTTGCCCGAGCTTCTTTTGAGGATATCCAAAACATGCTTGTGCTAGTTGAAGTATAATCCTTGATCAGTTCATGAAGTACTTCGAATCATGCAAGGTCTTTCATGATGAAAAGATAATCAAGGAATTGCTTGAACAAGTCAGGATTCAAGAACCAGGTTGTAATCAATTATAAACAAGCTGTGGATAGAAAGACAGTGACCATAATGAGACTTTTTCAAATGAAAATTCATGCTTTCACTGCCTTGACGCTTGTTTAAAACCATTTAGAGACCTCTTGAGTTTAAAAACTTGAGGAGATTTTCCCTAGATTAACCAGAGCATAGCTACACAACAGAGTTAGGAATATCCTGGTATCTTGTCGTTGCTGTTGTTGTTGTTGTTGCTACTTGCTGCTGCTGCAGCTACACAAAAGCAACGTCATCAAGATGACCATGTATGTACACATTATACATGTTAGGTTGTTGAATAGGCTAAGCCTTGATAGCTGCAACAGTAAAGTCCTCCGCTTCAACAGGATTAAGTCCCTTGGCAACTAAACGGGCCCTGAATCTATCCCCAGCTCCATCTGGTTTTCTATCAAGCATATCCATTTGCAGCCAATTGTTCTTTTCCTTTAGGAAAAATAGTTAGATCTGATTCCTGTAGCTCTTGCTTCACAAACTCAACCCAGCTGACATCATTCTTTGCTTGTATGCTAGAATAGGCTCTAGAACTTTAGACAAGTTTGCCATAAAGCCAAATGTGTCGCTGAGAAAGTGAACTGATAGGTGTCTTGACACATCAGAGGGACTAAAGATGTTGAAGTTTCATATACAATAAAATCTTGCATCCAGGAGGTAGTCTCTTAGCATACATGAATAAGTTTAATGGATTAAGTCAATTGAGTAGTACAAACATCCCAGAATTTCTAAGAAAAATCATGCAAATCAATTGATTATTTTTCAGTAGTCCTGACCTTTGATGTCAAATAGTCAGCACATATTAATATATTTATTAGCTATGTGTAAAATTCATGGCATCTTACTACAAATTTAAATGGGGTGATTTTTGATTACTGAAGAAAGTAGAGAAGTAATACTCGTTTGATACTTTGGCAACTCCTGTATAGTATTCATTAGATAGGACAAGGCAAAAACCAACAACAAAGTTTAGGAAAAACTTGACAGATAGCAAACTTTCTAACTGAGATGTGATTGTATTTTAAGGAAGCTGTAAAGAATCTGTAAGTTTTTAGCTTCATGTCAACTGATTGTCGCTTGTATGCCTTTACAGTTTCGAGTCAATTAAAATCGCATGTAGGCATCAGGTTTAGAGAACAAGAATCTGTGAATATCCCCTGTGAGGTTTAAGAATCTTTATACATTTCCATCTAGTTGGAATACTCGGTAGATGAACTCACAGGTTTTTGATACTTGTGATTAGGTTTAGGGAAGACTGTTATCTTCAGAATCATCTATGTGTGTGAAGTTAACTATATTCTCATCAGCTTCTGCAAGTTCTTACCCTACATCATTCTTTCAAACTCCTATTAAATCAGATTAGTCTGAGCAGTCTTTCAGTGATCATCTCCAGTATTTGGAACACCCGGTGGAGTTTCTTCCAGATGAACATACAGTTTAGACTAGTTTGCGCCTTGCGGCTTAGGTTTAGGAGTCCTTTATATGTCATTTCGTTTTTCAGAATTCACATTCGGGATCTGAGTTCCAGTCATGTTTTAGGTCTGGTTTAGGCCGCGTAGCTGCATCTTAGTGACTGTTTCAATTGGGTTGCTCACCTTCCTTTGCTTCTTTGCTCGAAGGATGAAAGTATATGCCACATCTACAATAGGCATACTCCATCCATTTTTAATTCCTAACTGTGTCACTAAAATTATTTCCCCCTCAGAAACTGCAAGAGTTTGTTATAGATACAGTTAGCTGCTCTTCAGCTACGCTCTGATGCCCGCCTGAAATGAGAGTATTCATCCATAGAAGATTAAGTTTTGCATACCACAGTAGTACAGGAGGTTCCTTTGGTTTGCTGTGCAGATCTGTTGCTTTAATTTGGTGATTAATGATCGATTGTTTGCACCCACCTATCGCATTCCAAAGCTGCTTTCCATTGGTGGTGAAAGCAATGCGGTCCGCAAACTTTGTTCTGGCGTCTTTTAATGATTTAGGATTATGATGCTGATTCTCTTATTTTAAAGGGGAAAACTGATTAAGATGTTGGTCGCATCAAGCATGTTATCATGAACTTGAATCTGAAAGCTTGGCTGATGATGCTGTGGATTCAAAAGATGTTACCATTTCAATCATACTTTCCATTGGTTTCTTGTATCTGAAACATTAAATTTGTCTCCCTTTTGTGCTTGTTGAACTCTGTTACTCGGTTTGTGTTCTAATTAATACTAAACAGAATATTCTGACTTTCTATTGCGAATTAGGCTGCAAGAATTATTTGTTTCCCGATTATTTCTTAGGTCGTGTTGCTTGCAATGGTCTCTGTTAGGCTTGGCTAATAGTGAATCTGAATCAATGGACGAATTTTGTTGCTGTGTTGGAAGGGGCTTTAACTTACCACTTACATGGGAGATATTAAACTAGTAAATTTATTGATCAGTTGTACTTGGTTATTGGTCTTGGCTCAAGTCTGCTAAGGTTTGTTCTTTTTGTCTGAATTCACTTGTTGATCATCAATTATGGAGCTAGTTGAACTGAAGGTAGCTGTTAAAAGTGTTTGTGCCTGCTTCATCGCCATGTACCGCCTTGATGGTTTTAAACTTCGAAATTGATCTAAATTTAAGACCTGTAGAATGTTTGTCAGCTTTGCTTGATAAGGAAAGCAAGAACATGATGACTTCAAAATGAACTTTTCTCGTTAAGTAGTCAATTCAACTTCATATTACGCCTTGCTGCTAACAGTGATTTTTTCATGCACGTGAGGCAAATCTGTTCTTTCGACGGACTTAGCCTTTTTTTACATGAATATAGCTCAAATGTAAATCTAAGTTTCTCAACAGCTGTAGGTAATTGTTATCTATTTCGACTTTCAAGTGAACGAAATGGTAAAATATGAGGACATTTTCTACATTAACTGTAAGTTGTAGTAACTAGACCTAGCAAGAACTACACCACAATTCATGTTGCAGTGATCTCTTATTCTGGTTTGGCGGGTTAAATTTGTACAGGCAGCAACAGCTTTTCCTTCTGGCATCAATATACGACATACTTCATGATACAGAACGATTGATTCGCAATTTCAGCAGCGGCAAGTTTCACAAGCTGAACAACTTTTCTTAGCTTGCTAACACGTTATAGAACAAGACAGGACCAGACTTACGTGTTTCACCATAGCTCCTGTATGATGACCCCTTGCAAATTTCTAGTACTTCCTCTGTTCCGAAAAAATAGTCCGCATTGGACTTTGAGAGGGAGTATGATTTATTGAGCAAAATGATAAAACTGTGTCACCTTAACGAGTTCCTTAGCCAAACAACAGAGATGATACCATTGATCCCAAATTTTTTTCATTATAATACTTTAATCAAGTGATTGGCAATCTTTTATACCATCTGTCAAATTATTTGCTTGCAGAACAGATTTTTCCATTGTTGAACGTTGAAGAATTTTGAATAGATTTTCCAATCTCGATAGATCACATCAACAAGAATCTGTTGACAAACGACAGTCTTAGATGGCTGCCATTTGTGAAGCTAATTATGATGCTTAATGTTGACCAAACAAGAGTGACCATTTATCGGTTTTAGAATATGAAACAACTTCTTGATTTTCTTTTACTTTTCATTCCTCATTTTTGAGTTACTATACTTTACTTTCTTTATATAGTTAGGCGTGAGGGCATGCGCGTATGAATAATGTCGCCATTATGATTAGACAACACTTAAAAAGTGTTTTTCTTCATCCAACAAAATCATCTAAACCAAAATCCACATATATACTGCAGAATCTCATTTACAGGATAGAGAACTTTGTTTTATCAAATCCACATTAATGCAGCTGACTATGCTTCTAAATTTGCTTCATTGACAGCTTCAAGTATAAAGCCTGAGGCGACTAGTTATCGGCAAGCGACAAATCGGACAGTTTGACAACTTTGATCCACATTCTCTGCAGGTCTGCAATCCAGGGGTAATGAGTTTGAATTTGTGCACTCTGAATTTCGATTATGTCAAAGCAGAAAACCGAACAGAAGTATTGATGCCCTTACCATGTGTCCACAACCAAATGCCATATTCTTTCCATTAGTTAAGCAAATAGGACAGACCTGTGTTGACCAAAAAAATACATTAGCTATAAGGTAGGCGCATTTTGTCATTCTTCTTACAAAACGTTCATCACATTTCACAGGATTACTATATAAAGATTTTCAATCATCGCAATCGGGGTGATGTGATTTATTATTTTGCCTCAAATATGTACAAAAGTTGTTTCATGTTCTTACCTGATTTCTATCTTCTGGAACATCAGTTGTGATATTACTCGATTGCTGCAGGTCTGATGTTGCACGCCGCGAGTAAGGAACTGGTGGCGGGCGTGGAACTATCCTCTTTGCTCTACCTTTTGCTCTTCTGCAAAAGAGTTGGGAGGACAAAGAGAGAGATATTCAAGTTGAGTTAACAAGCAAGGGCTTTGTAATTTACTAAATGAGCAGTCAAGAATCTAAAACAGCCATTACCCCAATAGACCAAATTCTTTGGTTGCTTTGTACTGCAAAGGGATTTCCATCAAGGCAGCCAGAGCAAATGCTGTTTCTTTTTCAGAATCACTTCGATATTTGCTCATTATTTCAGTAAAATTTACAAACTGCATGTTACATTTACAAGATGAAATAGAAATGATGATCCAAGTTCTGAAGAACAATAATTATGAGAGGATTTGAAGCTATATATACCTGAAAGTTATCGAACTCTCTAGCTGGAATCTTATCATCAAATTTTTTCATGTCTTCCCATGGACCATCACCAACTCCAACCAGAACAATGGAGAGTGGATACGAACTAATTAGGAGTTTAGGACATAAAACATTTTGACATTCAGTTGTAGTAGTTTCACACATAAAAGCATACTTTGTGCAAAGAGGAGAAATAACCAAGATAAGAGAAAATCCGAACTAAGAAGAAGCTCATTCATGCATACTACTACACTACCTTGCATTGACTATGGATTTAATAGTCTTTTCTTCCTGTGGGCTGAGTTCCTGATCACTTGTGTTAACACTTCGCGTAACCTTTCCAACGATTAATTAGGCATAATGTCAGAGAGAAAGACAGAGAAATAACAGCATGAATACCTTGAGCACAAAGAGGCAGACCTGGCCATCTGCAATGATAACCAAAACGTGATATTGTCCACCGCTTTTCTCAACAATGTCTACTGCAGCATCTATAACTGGTGCATATGAAGTTGGCCCTTGAACACATTTTGTCGCGTAAAATTTAGTTTAGGAGCTTACGAGATGATACTATTTTCATGACATTAAGCTAGCTAGCCATCACAGCAAATTCGTAGTTGACCACTTTTTCATAGTTACCTGACAGTTGCAAATTTGGAGTTATCCTCCTATAGCAATCTAAAACTTCTTCAAAACCATGGCAAGGAGAATGGTCATTGTGAAAGCTAAAGACTTCTTGATCATGTGTGGTCACTACAAGAGTAAATAAAAGGAAAATGAGTTAAAAAAAAGTGCTAAAATATGGGCTTGAAACTGAACCTAGAGATAGTTGAACTTACCATCACCAAAACCAAAACAAGGAATCAGATCATCTTCATCAAAGGGAGCCAAAGTCTTTCCAACGATAGATATGGCTCTCTCATATGGATTAGGTGCATCACCAATGGCATGGAGGCTTTTCTTATTGAACGAAACTCTGCCTTCAATACAAAAACTGAGGTATTAGTCTTGATCATATGAGAAATGAAAGTATATCGAATCATGCAATCCTGTTTATCTTTTGAGTTCACATTTCTCAATAATACATTAGTTCGTAAATAAGTAAAATAAGAGATGAATTTCTAATTATTTCATGTACCTGTCCATTCATTGCTTTTAGTAAAATCTATTCCAACTATCAAATTTGATGACTCTAAACCAGACTCCCTTAAAGCAGCCGTGACCTGCACAATAGAAATGTCAATCCCAACTTAAGACAAATCGGGATATAATATTTAGTTGTGTAAACGATGGCAAAACTTATACTCCCTTTGTCCCAAAATTATTGTACAGTTAGATTTTCACTTTTAGTTCATTTTGTATTAAAACTGAAAATTCAAACTAGACAATAATTTCGGGACGGAGGAGTATATTACACTAACTAGACGAGCATGGTCAATGGTAAAAATAGTTCCCGCTAGCTGAAAGAATAATTTCTAACACCTATCAGTTTTTAATTTTAATTTGATCATACTGTAGATGTTTCACATTTCCAGTCACTAGCAACACATCAGTAAGATCAGCCAATTTATTTAAAAAACGAACTGTAGGGAAATTACTTATTTTTAATTTTGAGTTTGATGTGACAAGTAGGATAATATCAAGTCAATAAATTAACATTGAGGGCTTTCTCCAATCAACTTTAAGGAAAGTGAAATATGCCCTTTAAAGTTTGGCAAGAATAATCACATCGATATCAATTATTGTCCTCTAATATATTACAACTTGCAGTCCCCACAATGAGATAGTTCACGTTCATCTTTAGTGCTACTCGATGCATTACAAAGTTTCCTCGAAATTTCTCCAAAACTTGACGCATTGACCTTGAAATCAAGTACTCTAATACCCAATAGTCATGCATAGAAGTAAAGTGGACCCTTGTGTCTAAAGCAAAATATATTGCATGATCATATGAAGAATATATAGTAATCTTTCTCCTTGAAATCAATCACATGAACGCAGAAAATTAAAATGAAATGAGATGGAAGAAGTTTGATGAAGGGGTATACCTGATCAAGAGATGAGAAATTATCAGGGATGTACTCATACTTCTTGTTCTTGCCTTTGCTAATATTATTGTTGTTCTTGATGGTACTAACACTACTACTGGCCATAAAAATGGTGGGTTTTTCCTTGGGAATAAACGGTCGTGATGAATGGAAGAAAGATGGCGGCGGAATTATTCTCCTTCCTTCGGTTTCCTCAGCTTGATATCTTCTTGTAATTCTGCTGTTTTTAGCGCTGCTGCTATGCTTCCTTGATGAGGGGAAGAACAAATTATTTCCCATTTAATGATGTTTTTCAAAACATCCATATATGAGATGAATTATCTCTAGTGATTTTGATAGTTTGAAACTTGAAAGTTGAAACACTAATATTTGAAACTTTGGAGAACTATCATCCTCAAGCAAAGATGGAATCTTTGTTTCCGTGTCCAGAGTGTTTTTGAATCACTCTTTCCAGCTTTTATAGCACTAATATAACAAATGGAAGGCAAACATGAAATCTTGTAATTTACTCCTTGTACCCTTGCCGTCAATTTTAACTTATTTCTGGGACAATCTTATTTGGTATTTTTAAGAAGTGCATGATCTTCAGATTCAATATAACACAGTTTAAATTGAGCGTTCTTTTAAGGCTTCATTTTAACTATCTTTTTGTAGGAACATAATGGATTCAAGTGGTTGGAAGTTTACACGTTTCAAAGAGCTTTTTTCCGAACAAGTCCGAACCATAATATTCGGTATTTTTCCAAATTCGATACTGGTGATGCATTAAAATCCGGTTTATAAAAATTAGAACCTACAAAACTAGGTGTTCTGGATAAGTAAATATGTTTTACGCAAATCACAAACTTTGAAATTTGAAGTGCAGGTTCAACGAAACAATCCATTATTAAACTATTAATTTCTGAACGAATTATGTTTTACTTTCTTAGTCTTATGTGATCCGTGTAGCCCATTACCACTAGTACCATTTTTTTCAAACTATTACATTTTTTTTTTTTTTTTTATAGATTTTCACAGGTACTCCCTCTGATCCTAATCACAAAATAATACTAAACTAGACATATCCCTTTGTGCCGCACGGATAGATCAGTAAAAAAAAGTAAACTATGACACAATATAATGGTAAATGGTAGTATAAAAATATAGATTTTAATATGTAAGGCATTTTTCAATTTTCGATAGTTTTGTACTATTTTTTTAATTATCTCATATTTGCATGGTCTCAAAAACAAATTTCTTTCATTTTCTTAATTATGATTTCGGTGTGACATGAAGAGGGTAATTAAAAAATTATTTGTAAAGTTGGGATGACTAATTCTTAGTCGTTAGAGTTAAAGTAATATAATATTGGGCATCAAAATTCTTAAAAACAATAAATTTTAAGAACACAAGCAAGTTAAAAAAATTGAAAAATAACGAAACAATAGTACACCACACTTTATCGCAAAATATGGTAAAATAAAATGTGATGTAATATTTCGGTCGATATTTCTATATTATAGATTTGCCTTCGTCTGATGAGATTTAGGGTTTTTAAACTCCTGCATGAATCTTCCTTATGTCTTATGATATGACAATGATTGAGTTAGTGGGAAACATTTTCATTTTTCAAAGAAGACTTCATATCGTTTCCTTTTTCGACTAATTAACACAGACCTTGGTATCTCTTTCGTTATATTCGTCTTTATACAGACTCTAGCAATTAATGGTCTAGATAAATGTAAGTTTGGTTGATCTACTTTCAAAAAAATCCTTAGGGCCTGTTTGGTTGTTTGGAAAATTAGGGAAAGTAAAGTTAGCATTCCTGGAATTTTAATTCTGAGAAAAATTAATACTTTACTTTACTTTATAATTCCTAAAAATATGATTCTGAAGAATATAAAAACTTTTTTCTATTTGGTTACATGTTGGAAAATATACTTGAATGTAAAAATGATATTTTTTTAGTTTATAAGCCTCCAACATATTCTTTCTGAAATTCGATTCAAAATCTCAAGGAGATATGCTCAAAGTGTAACGTCATCTACTAGTACATTAACTCTATATATACGTGTATGTGTGTCTGAGTGTTTGAATTTATAATCCATCAAAGATGATTCAATTTTGAGTTAGATTAATTAAACTCAAATTTAATTTAATAGGATAGACATGAATTTTTGAATATTGAATTTATTTACAATGACTATGTTATTATCACAAGTTAAAACTATCTTATAAGTATTATAGTATTTTTAAAAACTTATTTCTACAACGTTGTGATATACTTTAAAGAAATATTTAAAAGTTATTTTTCTCATTTTTACTCCTAGCATAATCCAAGTCATATCTTTTATTTATTAAAAAAATTAATTTGATAAAGTGTCTAGTTTTTAGGTGGCCAATCAAATATTTTGTCAATTAATTATGTAAAAAGATAATTAATCAAATTGAAAAAAAAACTTAAAAATTATATATATGAATAAATTAGATTAAGAAAAAATAAATAAATATGAATGATATGAAATGTTAAAATAAAAAGTGATTATGAAATGTTAAAATGTTAAAATGTTAAAATTAGATTAAAAAAAATTTATGGAGAATAAAAAGTGAGTAAATGTTAAAATCCTAAAAGATGGGAATCACAATACTACCTCCAAGGTGAGGAATCATAATCAAGAAAAGTTATGTTTATTTTCCTTGATTTCAGGATTCTTTTTCCTTTCCCAAAAGTAAACAAACAAAGGAATTTAAGAATTCAAAAAATAATTACTTTTCTATGTGAAACAAACACTGGAATTTAAAAACAAGGAATCGGATTACTTTCTAGTACAAAATCCCTTGCAACCAAACAGGCCCGTAATGCATTTGCCATTGATAAAATTGAATTAACTAAAAAACCAAAGGGAGATTATGAATTGATATCCAATTAGTGTGATTGGGTTTATTCCTCACATTTAAAGTAAGACTGCCACTTCAAGACTACGATTGAGAAATTGAGATTTCATTTCTGGAATTTGTGATTTTGTGGGAAAAAATTTCTGTATTTATTATTCGTTATTAACCACGATCATTACAGAAGCATTAAATATATGTTAGCTGACTAAACCAAATATAGATCACGAATTGATAGTTTTTTTTATATCTTTTAATATGTGAGTTTTCTATGTGGAAGTTATTGAGTGAAAATGAGTCCTCCTCTTTGTAAATCTCCCATGGTGTTCTTGTCACAATTCTGATTCCGTTCTGGCTTTCTATGTAGCACTGTTATTTCTTTTCCTTAACCAATTAGAATTCTGTTTCCTGTTCCTGATTAACCTATATGCTTTTCTGGTTTTTGGGTCTTGTACGGAAAAAAAAAATACATAAAAGATGCAGATTTCGTCACTAAATCAATTAATTCTGACATCTCTTTGTCCTTAGCCAACTGTGTCAATAATTTTTTTTTTCCATTATTTTGTGTAATCATTGAACTTTTTTGTATAAAAATAACTATTTTTCTCAATTTCTTTTGTTGAAGATTAGAGTTACAATTTCATATTCGTGCTGGTAATATCTTCTGAGGATCAATCTCTCCAGTTTACTGGTGGTATTCAAATTTTGTTTATTGTCTTTGTTATCTTCGTTTGAATGGAGGATACCATTGACCATTTTTATTCGGGTTTGTCTCTTTATGAGGATGAACTTTTATGGCGGTCTTTGGATGATCATGCGGATCCCAATGAACCACTTGTTTGGCGGTCAAAGGTCTCACAACCATCATCATTCCTGTCATTGATGTAGAAAAGAAGTTTAAAAGGACTTTGGTGGTTTGGTATTTCTTGCAAGCCATCGGCGGACAATGTGGTAATGTTTCAATATAATTCACTTGCTGATTTACGTCGAGTTGATTCTGAAGCACCATGGCTTTATAAGACCAAATTTAAGAGTGATCTTCTTGCTTCGGAGAGAATTATAAATGGAGTCAATATCAAAGATCTTAAGTTTTACAGGTCTCCATGTTAGGTTCAAGTTCATGGCTTGCCTATAAGCAGTATGACTAAGGCTATTGCTGAGATTTGTGGTAATAGATTGTGATCTTCTTTGGAAGTTAATACTGATAATGGTGGAAGTCTCATCGAACGTTTCCTACATGTAAGAGTGAAGCTGGATGTTACTAAGCCTCTCCGTCAAATCCTGAATTTTACATTTATGAATGCTGATAGGAATTGCAAGATTTTCGATGAAAGATTGTTGGATTTTTGTTATTGTTGTGGTAAGATTGGTCATGTTGAGAAAGGATGTGATGTCAAATTATTGTCTCTAAATCCAAGTTCAGGCGCTCCGGAATATGGCCCTTGGTTGAATACTTCACCACCTTTAAGCCGTTTAATGATTTCAACTGCTTCTTCAAGATAAGGCTGTCAGAGTAATTCCGGGTCGTCAGAAACTTTCTCAGCCTCCACCACTATGTTCCTTTCCTTTCAGTAACACCCCGTCCCATAATGACCACTTCTAATTATCCAACTGCTCCCTTCTCTTCTCCATCTCGTAATGCACCACCTCCATCGGCAAATAACTTCCCAATTGTTATCCACCCCTTTAACAATAACCATCCATCCTCCTAACAATCATGTTTACCCCCGACTACAATTGTGCATCATCAACCAAATGTTCATCAAAATGTCTCCTCTCAAATTGGGACCTACTGAGCGCGTACTATAGTTGTTTACACTGACAAATCACCCAAGATTTTTCTTCTCCTTCTCATCCTTTAACTCACCACACCAGCATAAAATCTTTTTAACCAAATCAAGCTTAATTGTTGCCTCCTTTAAGCATTTCTCCTTCTTCATACACTATTACATTCCCTGATCCCTCATCCATAAAAATAATAAAAAACCCATTGAATGATGCCTCTTCTCCCACAAAATTTTTTTCCCCATCTTTAAATACATCTCATGCCTACCCAACTGTTAGCTCTCCTTCTTCACCTGCTTCATGTAATGCTATCAATAACCAATCATCTGTCATTCGACCTAGCCTATTTTTAGTCCAAATTCCCATCCAGCTTGACTCCCCGGCAAAGAAAGCTTCAAGAAGGTCGAAGGTAGCTTGTAGGAATAAACAAAATCCTATTAATGTTGTTGATTCACCTTGTACCCAAGCAAAAAGAAGGCTTTTGATATAGGAAGTGGAAGAACTGACTATCGAGAATTTAGAGAAAAAAGTGTATTGATTGCTTAACAATGGAAACAAACACATTTTGGACAGTTAAAGGTTTTTTATGATGGTTTGACCATTGAAGAGTTGGTGGAGAATTA